TCGAACGGAAAGTACCCTATACTTGTATTCGTTTAGAACGCAGATACGTTATGTTCGGGGGAAGACCGGAATATGTTGTAAGGGGCAACCAAGTTCTGTTTGACAATATATAAATATGCCTACGGTATATATAAATATATAAATATATATAAAAATGTATATAAAGAGGGTCACCAGCCCGTACGCACGGAGGTACCCGGGCCGACCTCCGTACGTAAGGGCGTTCGGGGTCCCGTACGGGGTCCGAACCCGACGGCATTCGGACCTCGCCAAAAATTATTTTGGGGCCTAAAAATAAGTTTGTTTTTTTGAATTTTTTTTTGTGCCTATTAATTTTAACCTCATTTGGCTCAGCCAAATAAGAATTAAAAATTGCCAAAGATGGCAGTGTCAAAACGAGCTCGCCCACTTTTTTTTTTACTTTTTACTTTTTGTTTTCACTTTAGTTCGGGGTTTAAACAATTGTATTATTTTTTGAAACTTTTTAAGTGGGTTTTGTATGATGTGAAGTACACATCTGCAAATTTTCAGGATATTTAACTATGCAAAAAAAAATAAAAAATAGCCAAAGATGGCGGTGTCGAAAACGTGCTCGTGCATTCACTTAGTTTATTTTTATTTTTATTCTATTTTATTTTTTATTATTAGTATTTATTCTCCATATTTATTTATTTTTTCAATTTTGGTAAGGAATTTTGATGTAATGCTCAGGCAAATCTTGTTTAGTTTATGTTTCTTCATAACATATTCTTTTTTTAATTTTTTTTATTTTTTTTTCCTCGTTCAACCAAACGCATCCCCAAGGGGTCCCATACCTTCGAGCGTTCGAGTTCGGGCGTTCGGCCCATCCCGAACGCCGGTTACCCTCTCTCTATATATATAGATAAATATCTATCTATATATCGTCAAACAAAGTTATCAGGTAAACCGCAGGCGGAGAGGGAGAAGAGGACAACAAACGAGGGGTTGTGACAAACTATTTCGTCGGAGTTTCACCAACTCATGAGCAGGGTGAACCCTCAGCAGTTTGTAGAATCCCCTAACTGATTACACTGTATGTGATAATTCACCTTAACCCCGATTGCGGTTAAGCATCATCGACTGTCCGGTGACTGATACCCTGAGGTGGACACCAACCACTGCCCTCAAGGTACCTATGACACAAATCAATATATATAATATATATCGTCAAACATAGTTGTCCGGAAAATTGTAGGTATATATATAAATTGCTCTTAGCTTTTTTACTACTATCTTCACCCGAATAAAGGTCGGTCATCATGGCTGTATTTCGTGCAACTTTCCGTATAGAACCATTGTCGTCGACAATGACCACAATTAGAGAATCTTTCATAGGTTACTGATCGTCAAACTTTGACTTTATTATAATTCACGTGTTTTCTCTTTTACCATTCTTGATGTCGCAGGAGGATTGGCTTTTGCGATCCCCCAAACACAAAGTGAAGCAATTCGTTCTCCTCATCATGCATCTGTTCATTGCATATTCGCCCAATTTACGCAATTTATCAATTTATTCACCCATCCATCCATTCATTCATCCATCCATTAATCCATTAATCCATTAGTCCATTCATTCATCCATCCATCTATTTTATTTATTTACAGTCGGGAGTAAATGAGTGAATATAATTCATCTATCTATTTAATATATTTATAGACCGAAAAAGTTAGGCAAAGGTAACCTCTTTACTTATAGATTGAAAAAGTTAATCCATTCATTTATCTATTTATGTATTTATATACTGAAAATGTTTTACGAAAATGTTTTACGAACGTAATTCATTTATCTATCTATTTATAATATTTATATATTTATAGACTGGAAGTACCATCTTGATTCTGATACCAACCCACCCGTCCATCACATCCCTTATCGCCCCAAAAATAATGGTTGTCAAACATAACGTATGTGTTTTCTGTTCGAACAGAAAGTAACTTATGCGTTGTATTTGCTTAGAACGCGTATGCGTTATGTTCGGAGGAAGACGGGTAGCTCAATAACAAAGGGTCTTCCTCGATATAAAAAAAAAAAAAAACCCGGAGGGCTGAACAAAATTAATGCACATGCTGAGTTTTCCTTTGAGTTTAATTATGTCAAGACTGGGTAATTAACGCGTCTGTTGCGTGCCTTGGATATGGGCCTTGCTCCACGATTACCTAAATTAGCAAAAGTGAGATGGGTTTCGCCGAGTCACTCACAAAATGTGCAAAATGAGAACGAATCTTGCACTAGAATAAGAAAATATTCAACGTATAATTTTTGTCTTTTCTCATTTGGTGTGTGTGGTTACGATGGGACCTATAATCGAACTACGAGTTTCACGCTCAAACCTTGTCAAGTTTCTCGGTTGCATTCAGTAAAAGAAAACCCTATTGTGAATATGTCGTAAGGGGCAACCATGCCACACTGTCATAAAGACTACCCACCTGTCTTCCCCCGAACATAACTCATACGCATTGTATTCGAGTTTTTGAAAATTTTGAAAATTCAAATAGAACGCACATACGTTGTATTAAAAAAAAAATGGTTGTCAAATAGGACGCATGTGCTTTGTGTTCAAGCAAAAAATAACCTATGATTTTTATTTATTTAGAATGCATATGTGTTATGTTCGGGGGAAGACGGACAACTAAAAAATAGAGTGTCTTCCTCGATATAAAAAGAAAAGAAAACCTCGGGGGGCTGAACGAAATTAATTCGCCTGCTGAGTTTTACTTTGAGTTTTCCTTTGAGTTCCCTTATGTCAAGATTGGGTAATTAATGCACCTGCTGCATGTTTTGGATATGGGCGTTGCTCCACTACTCCCCAAATGAGCAAAAGTGAGATGGGTTTCGCCTGACCACTCACCCAATGTGCAAAATGGGAATGAATCTTCCTCTAGAACAAGGAAAAAATATTCAACGCCATAGTTTTATCGTTTTCTGATTGGGTGTGTGTGGTTACAGTCAGGCCCATAATCAGACTACGAGTTTCACGCCCCGACCTGGTCGTGTTTCTTGGTCGCATTCAGTCAAAGAAAATATTGCTGTGAATATGTCGTAAGGGGCAACCACGCTCCAGTGTCCCAAAGGCTACCCACCCGTCTTCCCCCAAACATAACTCATATGCGTTGTATTCAAGTTTTTGAAAAGTTTGAAAATTCAAATAGAACGCACACATGCGTTATGTTAAAAAATTATGGCTGTCAAATAGGACCCATGTGCTTTGTGTTGGAACATAAATTAACCTATGCTATTTGACCCATGTGCTTTGTGTTGGAACAGAAATTAACCTATGCTCTGTATTCGTTTAGAACACAAAGTAACCTATGCTTTGTATTCGTTTAGAACGCATATGCGTAATGTTCGGGGGAAGACGGGTAGCTCAGGAACAAGGGGCCTTCCTCGATTAAAAAAAAAAGAACAGAAGAAACTGGTGGGCCGAACAGAATGAGCGCGCGGCTGACGGGAATGGGGAAAGGCTAGGCTATTTCTTTTAAGCCCAAGTGGTGGGCGCCGGGCGCCAAGCTTGCCCAGGAAGGTACATGAGGCCATTGGGGATTGAACCCAAGACCTCCTAATGCCACTTCGTGCCTTACCAACTGAGGACGGCCTAGCTCAGTTGGTAATGCATGCAAGTGGCATTCAGGAGGTCTTGGGTTCAATCCCCATTGGCCTCATGTACTTTTCTGCCCACCACCTAGAGATATGCCGTTGGTCCCCCCGAGTGGCATTGAGCAGAGACTGCTGATGTTCATAGGGGGAGGGGACCGGAGGGGAGGCACAGTGACTGGCCCATCGAAGAAGCTCGAGTGGCATTGAGCAGAGACTGCTGATGTTCATAGGGGGAGGGGACCGGAGGGGAGGCACAGTGACTGGCCCATCGAAGAAGCTCGGTCCTGATGCTACCGGCTGACCCCTGGCCGGTATCGCCCACCTGCTGTAGC